CTTTTGTCTTCAACAGGTAAATATGTCTTCTTCTGCAAAACACGTAGTGGCTTTCGAATATGGATACAGATAACGTTCTGCAGTGGCGGAATATATGAATACGCACCTACGCAACATTTACGTTGTTGATGCTTCTTTAAATTTTCGATTCATGGTTCAGGGCACCAAATACAACAGATGATACAACAGTTTATTGCCAACGCGTTTCGCTACACCATAGCATCATCAGGGCTAGGCAAAGTAAAAAAATTTATTTACGTTGTTGTTTGCCATTGTTATTCGGCGACCATATATACCATATCATATCATATATATCATATATCATAAGTCCTTAGATTACTTTAAGGATTAACCGCTTATACAAAAGATATCCTCCCTGTGGCGAGCAGACCAACTTCTATGCCCATTGGTTGGCTCCCAGAAGAGCAACATTTTATGATGTTTTACGAACTTTATCGATCCAGCATAGACGTCGGTTTCTTAATGCTTCAGAAAGCTTCAACTTGGCGGTTCTGAGTATGTGATCTTTCGTTACTTGATAAGACCACGGGAATTTGAGGATATTCCGCAGGCAGCTTAGCTGATTTGGCGTTTCAGTACTGCGGCTGTTTCCAGGCCATACAAGAGAACAGGAAAGACTGCTGTTTTCAAGATGGTAAACTCAGATTTTATTGATATTGAGCTTTCTTTCCGTACTTCAAGCAGCCTCGCAAAATTTTTTTGCTGCAACTCCAAAGCAGCGGTTAATGTCTGAGTCACAGTTTCCATCGTTTGCGATACTTGAACCAAAGTATTATTTCGGTTAACTTCCTCCAGCATCGTCATACCATTATATTTGACCTCCGGCGTGTCTTTTACGACTTATGCCATCATTTCTACGTTTGGTTGACTCATAGCCCAACCTGTTCTGTCATATTGCACTCACTGACGGATGGTTGCCTGACCACTGTCGGATCGCTTACCAGAACAGTGTTGTTAGTTTTCTTCAAGTTTGTGAGGTAAAGTTCTGGGTACCTGGAACTTTTTCTTTGCCAGGTAGTTAATCCTTTTGTTTCCTTTCGAACGACACTTCTCTGCATGGTGTAGTTAACCATGATGGTGAACAGCAGCAATGACGAAAGGACTTCACCTGGACGAACCTCACTGTACGAGGTGTTAAACTACTTTGATATACTGCCTTCAGATTTATGCCATCCTTTTGAAGAGCTTAGATCACCATTACGCCAATACTTTTCTCGTCATGCGCTGAACTGTTATGGTCAAAATCTTTAGTGTGACTTACTTTAACTGCGAATAACTTTCATTAATTTTTCGCTGAATTGGAGTCTTATCTAAAAGATTTAGTTTCTAATATATCCTGTGTTTAAC